TTTGCTTAGGACCCATCAAGTTTTTTGGTGTCAAATGGTTCCATCGGAGCTTGAAAATTAATTTTAGAACTTCCTCAGCAAAATTCCGATCTGGGATCTAGAAAAGCTAGTACTTAATCTTTCAGTGCTTGGGATTTTCTGTCAAGATTTTGCAAAATAACTTGAGGAACACCGTAGACAAAATCCGTTTTGTTGATGGCACGCAGGGATTATCGAATCGAAATGAGCTGAAGAATGTGCCTTACAGGAAGGCGCGGATGCGTCTTCAAACTTATCGCTGATCGCCATTGTATTTTCCTACCTTTATTGCCACAGTTATCACATCTGAGAGCAGTTCGAACTGCTCATTAATCTTTCAGGAAAAAACATCATTTTTATCCACATTTTACCATTTATGTCGGGAGGTTATTGGATTTTTTAGGTATTTCATGGTTTCTTTGTTACGATTTATACAGCTTCGCCTTTCTCTTTTCTTTCTAATGAATTTTTGTAATAAAACTTTTGGGAGCATTTATTTTTCGTACCACTGTATTAGATGTTATGACATACGAATGCGAAACGTGGCCATTGGCGAAAGCAGAGGTGCAAGATGTAATCGGTTAGCAGTGGGATGAAGAATTCCTGGGGTTCATCCCCAACAAACAGTCACATTTTAAAGTATGTAGAAAACATTGTGATCACACATAAGATCCGACGAGCGTAGCTTATTGCGCTTATTGCGCCCCTGAGTCGTCACAAGCAATATAAGTTACGACTTGGGTTAGTACTAGGTGGGGGCTAACAGCTAGGGGACTCAGGGGCCCAGCACAGCTGCATTTCAAGTATTCGAGTATCCCAGTAGCATCTCTAACACGGGATCTCCAGGCAGATTTTTCCCGGGGGCTGTGGTGTTTTTTAGTACTCGTGGGACGGGCGGGGAGAAGACAGACCTTATAATGCATTTAATTGTGCCTTTTTGCATGTAGTAAATTCATAAGCCCACATTGTGACGACTCGTGGTGTGCGTGTGTGTTCACATCTTCATGTGTGTGTATCTGTCCAGGTATTTCAACTCGGCAACTAAGCAAGCACTGGCGCTAAATCCCTAAATGCCACCCCAGGACCGCAGTCCCTACCTTCATGGACGTCTCAGTCCCGCGTGCGGGTGCGTGAAAGCTTTGACGGGAAAATTACCAGCTCGGCAACCAGAGAAGTTGGGCGGCTGAGATTTGGATTTTGAGGGGAAGTTAGAGACTTCGAATTCGGCACCCAAGCACGCAGGGATTCGAGTACGGTCACACACAATCCTCCGGTCGGTTCACTGCAATATCTCGTAAACCCTCTCAATCCCTACCACTACATGCTGTGCACTTTACTGACTTCTCAATCTCAGCCTCTCTTCCATTACTGTAGTGTAAAGGAAAAGGGTGTGTTAGAGATTGAGAATGTGACGGAAGTACAGCGCGATCTATGGCAGAGATTGAGAGGGCACTCTTTCAGCTCTGTAGCACGCCTTTGGAGGAGAGGCAGAGATTGAGAGGGCTGCTGAAATCCAACAAGCTCGGTAGCAGAGATTGAGAGGGCAAATTACCTATAGCGGACGGTAATTTGACTCAGCTGTTTCATAGCCCAGATTTGAGGCGATGAAACGGTGATGAAGCACTGAGTAAAGCAAATAATAAGCTGACAGCTCAACATTGCCGATTTCGTCTGCGTTATCGCGCTTAATACACTAAAGTGAGCGCGTATCTTTCTGCCCAAGTACAAAAATATTAATTCATTTCCCTTTCAACTGCAGAAATGGATTCGAACTCCTCTTCTCAATAATCTGTAAACGACATTAGTTGAAGTTTTAGGATCGGGCTACAGTCGAATTCATGCAGTGCCAGTTTACCATCGATACAATGAGTGAACTGTAGAGGGACAGGTCATAGCACCGGTAGAGTCGAATCATGGCAACAGTGTACTTCACTATATGCTACGTCCAAGGATTATTCCGAGTAATTCAGCAGGAAAAGACGGAAAAATCTGCATCATTTCCCCTCTGTACTTCCGCTGCAGCACTGTTTCTGCAGAAAGAATTTTGATGGGTATTTTATTAAACTTTTATCTGGATCGCACCACCAGGTTTGCTGGTGCGTTCCAGCCAACCTAAAGATTTCGAATCCAGGTATACGTACCCCTCAATTACGGTTGGTGGATAAATTGCTAACTCGAGAACAGGGAAGGCTGGAAAGCTGTAATTTGACGGAATGTTCTCTGTCCAAATACAGCGTAGTTGCACAATTAACTTCTTGAACTTCGTGGACCAGTTTGTCACAAATTTTAGCTACTGGGATTTCAAGCTATTTAACTACAGCACAAAATAGTGCAAAAACGTGTAATCGCACCAGCCCCACCTAGTGCGCATCACCAATGATTTTTTAAGCGGCCCATGACACACAAGTCGTACAGCTTGACCTTTGAAAGACTTTATTTATGATCCTAATAAAATTTGCTATATATAAGCAAGAAATCACATAAATGGAGAATTTTCGCTTCCATTAATGAGATTTGCAAAATCAACCACAAAACTCAACGTCCCGGTTGTTGTCGGAAAATAACGGATTTTTTTATTACCAAAACGATCCATATTGATTTCCAGCAACTCCGATGTTTTGTAATCATTGCCACGGTTGAAGAAAACACGTGATTTGCTAAGGCTCTGCCTAAAATTCATCATGCTCGGCAAAATTTGTTTTTCGTCAGAATGGTACACTGAACTTTACATTGATAATAAAGGAAATTCTGTTCTGCGGAAATGAAACTACGCAGGATGGATCGGAAAAGCAGATTTTTCGCCTGCCTTCTAAGTTAGTTCATAAGGAAAAGAGATGGCGCACATACATCGAGCAGGTAATGAGTACCAAGTGGAGGAAGTATGTATTTCGGCATTGAAGGGACTTGCGCAACTGCACCGATATTCGGGAGCATTCCAGTAATATCACTAACATGGAATATCGCCAGTGCTCGCCTGGGCGGTCTTGGTACTCTTCTCAAAACTCGATTTAGACATCAGCAGCGCAGATAAAATGTGAAGCACTTATATTCACGTAACAAAGCAGTCCTATAATTCAAAACTAGTAGCCACACATGTTTCCCATTTATAATTACTGGGCTATATTCAGGATGGAGGAAATGACCAACTGTGGGGCCACGGAAGACTTGACCGCGTCTGTACTTGTCTGGTGGTGATGGATCATCATTGTGACCGAAAGCCTAAGTTTGAATCTTAACAGGCCGCACTAACCGATTGCCAACAAGCCACTGCAGTGTATCGCCCACTGATTCGGTGGAGCCGACTTCATGATTGATACGACGGCGACAGATCGTTTCCAGTGGTCCTTTCTCAAGTACCATTATTTTAAGGTCTATCATCTCCTTCAGCCCGTTTCTGGTACTGCTCGTTCTCTCTGACGCAACTTTTTCACTTGACACTGTTTCCTTGAAAAATAAAATAACATATTATAACACTTTTTAAACTACCAAAACAAAAAAAAAATTCAGTACTGTTCGCCAGATGCGTAGCGTGCGGGATTTCATTAAGAAATGCAAAAACGAAAAATCCAATGGACAAGAATGTTGCTCGTATGGTGAGTGTCGCGCGTTTCGCAATTTTTTAAGTTGAGGAAAAGCATTCATCGTCAAAAATTTTGTGACTGAATTGATTGGCACCAGTGCACGTCGAAGTTTGTCCATCCCACTGCGTCTGGAATATGTTCCAATGATTTCGTCCAGTTTCTGCTTATTGATAATCATTTGGAAATATTTGTGGCGCAATTTTTCGTCCGGACAGAGTGCTGCCAGATCGGCTGCGAAGCATTCCCGATTGCAACAACCCATTGAACCTGGAAAAATTTCGAAATTTTTCAAAAAGAAAACAAAACGATCTGCTTGAAATAAATGATATCAAGAGCCCTGTAACACTGTCAAAAGAGAAATTGTTTTAATCAAAGCTGTGAGACATTCAGTCATATTGGGGAATTTCCCATTGTCCCTTCTAACATTGTATGGGTACCACTCAATAATCCGCTTTGTTTCATAATTGTTGAAACGAATGGCAAATGAAAAGGCTTTAGGAAGTGGACCGTCGGCGTTTTCGATCATTGGCGCGTTGACGATACAGAGCGGGCAGATTGCGTGGTCACATCGACCGTTAACACGAAGGTCCTTGACCGAACGCATCTGTCCGCATGGCCCATCGCAGTGACGTGTTTCGTCAGAATTAGAACCTGAAAACAACGAACTGCTTTTTCTTTAAGAAAAATGTTTGCCCTTACATTTAAAATTTTGGACGTTCTGGTTCAAGCTTGCCCCGTATTTCCATGCAGTTCCAAACAAACTATTTGAATCTTACCTCTGCCTGGATTGATTCTGCGCTTTTTTAATCGACGTTTGCGTAACTTTTGTTTAAAAAAAGGCCTCTGTGGTAGGAGCAGGTGCCCAGGAAAAGTTCGAGCGGTAACAAATTTCAAGAGCAACCGCTCCACTGTACACCTAACCACTCCTTTAAAGGCTGCTTACAGGGACGCTGGTTATGAGTTTGACCTCCTTGCACATGCGTGTGTCATTTTACCACTGCAGCAAATAAGCTAATCGAAGAGGGATTGACTGAGCCCACGGGTGGAACCGAATCCACGACCTGCGAGGCAACAGTATTATTTCCACTGCGCCATCTGGCCAGGTTAATTTGGATAAATATACACAATTTTGAGGGAAAAAGGATCCTTAGCTAGTTTATTTTTATTCAA